GCTAACCCAGAAACCCACGGTTACCAAAAAAAACATGGGTTTTTGTTTTTGACTTTTTTGGAATAGTGTTTATTTAGTCGATTTTATTAGAATACATTATACATAATACATATTGACATTGAAATATACATTAAGCACTTTAGTAGATTATTTGTAGTCTTGGACTAGTTAATGGGCTAGAGACTTGATGGATTTATACATATTAATGAACTAGATGCTAGACATTTAAAAATACGAATTTATAGTAGAAAATAATTTTGTCCGGTTTGACGAGTCGGGTCGGTTGGAAACGGGCCTAATCCATAATTGACTCTACTCTCATTGGTTTATCTATTTTATAAACACTACAAAACACAAGGGCTTTTTAGACGGAAATTTCCGTCGGAAATGGTGTATTTCGACGGAAACTCTTGTTGGTGAAATTTTGGTCGAAAATGTGTGTTTCCGAGAGATTTTTGATGGAATTTTCGACAGAAAAATCCGTCAAAAAACCTATGAATATTCCAAGTGATTTTCGACAACATTTTTAAGGGTTGAGTTGTTCAGTCTATTTTCAAATTGGGTGCAAGATAGTAGTTTGGTCGGTTTTTGTGTAAGCCTAGTCTCAAAAATTCAAACAAGATATATAATTCCGTCGGTTTAGGATGCCGAATTATCAATCCGATTCTATACGGACATATAATACAGGTTTATATTATCTATAAAATTTTAAACATAAAACCTTTTAAAACTATCATAATTATTGGTTTAAATGTAACATTTTTGTACTGCATGTAATTTGGGTGACAATATAATACAATAACATAGTTGTGTGGACCCCAATGCAAAAAGTTCTTAAAGCTTTGGCTTTTTAAACCATAGCTGATTAAAAAGGTAGATCAACAAAAAGCACCTTTTTAAACCAATGATCTTATTAACATATCATATGTTTTAAAAATAAAATGCAATTATAGATATAAATTATCAAGCTGGATTAGATTAAGGTCATGTTTGACAAATATAAGTTAACTTATTTCATTTGAACTTATCCTAAAACATTCGTTTGATCGGGCAAAAAATAATTTATAAGCCAACTTATTCAAACACAAATTATACTCCTGATTAATAATAATTATTAATGATATTAAAATTAATAAAGTTACAATTATTTCTTTAATAAGGGAAATATCACATTACGTTTTTTTTTTCCTTCAAATTTCCTTTAACCAACACTTTGTAAAAAAAAAATATGATGTCGAACTTTATAAATATACCCATTTGTATCAATTATTTTATTAGAAATATTTCATAGAAAAAATACAGCACCAGATCATCTGATAAAATAATTCATAAAACAGGTTTTTTTTTTGTCTTTTAGTTAGTATATTTTGTTCATTTTTGGCTTAATCTAAGTAGTGACTGAATTTGACGAACCATTGTGCACCTATTATCCATATTTCAACCATCTATTTTCATACAAACATAACAGACGATAATAGTGTTTAAAAAATTATCCAATCAAATTACAACCAACTTTGGCTTGGAAGTTTCCTGACTTTTTAATTTTGTCTGGGAAATGTTTAGAGTAAATTTAGTGTTAAATAAAAGATTTAAAGTAGTCGTTTTTTTTTACAGATTTGATGGTTGGGATTAATCCACGTTTGAGTGTTATATGAAATAAATATACATGATGTAAGTGTTATAACACATAAAAATGCAATATATTAGTTAGAGTTGTATTTTGTTGAGTTACGAGCATTTGCATCGAATAACAATCACTCTGTACATTGTAATTGTAAGCAATCTAGGCCAACCACATGAGGTAAGTAAGCTAATTATCGTTCCATAGGACACCATGACCAAGAGGCAGGACCAGTGGCGGATCCAGGAAATTCTATTATTGGGGGCACATTTAAGAGTGTTAATTTTTTTTTGAAACCAAATAACTCATTCGAACCAATACGATTTCAGGTTATTTGGTTTTCGGATCAAACAGTTCAGTTATCGAATACATATAACTTATTTGGTTTGGTTTTCAATTAATTTTTGACTATTTTGGATAAACCGAGACATCATATTGCCATGTACATATTTTACTTTTCGGTAAAACCAAAGCCAATGAACACACTATACATTAATAGTTAGTAGCAAAAAATTAGAGGTCAAGAGGCCCATAACTTAGGGGCTGTTTACCAAACGCTTACCTGGGTAAGAGTTTACTAAGTCACATTATCTTACTGGATGAATGTGGTAAGAACGAAGAATCTTACCCGGTAAGAGGGAGGTAAGGAAAAGAGTCTTAACCGATTCAATTGTTAGGGGCCTATTAATAATTTTTTGTTAATTTTTTTAAAACCTACCATTAATGTTTTATTTGGTTGTTTTTAGGCTTACTTTGTTGGGGCCTGTGCCCCCTACACCTATAATGTGCATCCGTCAATGGGCAGGACCCTGGGTTAATAGTGCAGGTCACATAGGATGTCAATGGACCACGAGATTCAACTCACATGCTAAGTAGACTTGTTTAATAACTGATACAAGTACTTAGATATATAAGAATGATGCTATGTAGGTTGCGAGCAAACAAAGACTAAAAATCCTACACTATTTTAGGCAAGCGACAAATTTAAAACATAGTCATTATCAGCAGCTCACGCACTCTTTATGTTCTACTTTGTTCTGGAACGTTATTAAGTACTTTGTAAATGATTTAAGTTGTTATTGGTCATATACGTGTTTAAACTTGTAAGTGAGGTATTCCCTTGCGTATGTTATTGAACTGTAAATAATAATGATGATTGTTACGAAGTTTACCCTCTGTAAATTACATGAGACGTCACATTTCTGTAAGGAGAAGTGAAGGGTGTGACATTTCATATGATATTTGTATTCAATATTTTGGTATGATAGACTTGTTTTCTCTTAAAATTTATGTTTATCAATTACATTGATCATTCAATTTATATGGATATCATTTTATGAGTAGTATTTTTAAGCGCAATACATGGATAATTAGTTGAAATTATTAGAAAGTTTAAAAATGTCAGATTAATCCAATCCGATTCAATAAAAAAATATAGTTGTTAAAATTGATCTAATACAATCATCCATTTGGTTGAATCAGTTTACCTGAAATTAACTGAATTAAATCATGAAGAAGACAATAATCTTGTGAGGTTAATTCAACTAACAACAAAATACTGAAATTCAGAGATCCACATTAGAGATATTGGTTCAAGTCTTGCAAACCTATTGAAGATTTTCTTGACTGTTTTTTCAGAACCCCTTAAAATTAATGGAGATGCATGCAATGCAAGCTGGTTAAAGGTTGTTCACCAAAAAAAATTTAAGTCCTATATGGATAAATTTGTCTGTCTGAATAAATAAGTGTTATTGTTTACATTTTTTTTATTTGAACCAACAGTTTCAATAACATAATTGACCGATCTATCCCCATTAAAACAAAAAATCATAAAGATGCCGAAAATGGAGTGTCTCATATGGAATAGAAACGATACTTTAAATAAAGGGTAAGAATGTCATTTTTGTGGCTAAATAAGAACAATATATCATTTGTAATTAAACTGCAAGTAAACAGTAGTAAGAAGATTTATAATTAATAAAATAAAAATGAGGAGCAAATAATTGAGTGGATGAATTATGGTCAAAGGCCATTGGATTACGAGGGAAGGAACATTCGTGGCACATGAGATGGTGAAATTGGAGAAAGATGGAACATGTGGAAGGGTACAAGTGGTGGTGGGTAAAAAGGGAAGAAAGTTTCAAATGGGACCCACTCATACCTAAATACGAAGGAAGGTTGGCCTGAAAGCCACCAATGATATGAATGGACACACGTGCACCCCCTATTATTATACTCTTCCACCGTACAATGTCCTTTTCTCTTACCGTTGAATTTATTTAATATTATCAACTAACTATTATTATTTTATTCCAAATGACCAAATTACCCCCTCCTTCTGATGTGATTATTGCAATTTTTAGAGATGAAAAAGTGTTATTTTTTACAAACCTTAAGGACCAGATATGTAATTTACTCTTAACAAAATTATTGGTATTCATTAATTTTCTTTTTATATTTTAAATATTGTCATGAGAAATAAATAAATGATATTAACATAAATATACTAGAATTTTCATTTTATTTTTAAGTTTACATAAAGTTGTAAAAATATAGTGTTTTTGAACCAAATGGCCAAATAAGCTTTTAATTAATGCATCTATACTATCTTATAAACTAGATTTATCAAAAGTCTTAAAAATAATTTTTAAGACACAAAATACTATATATTTATACACAAAGTCTTAAAAACAACTCATATTGCATTAAGTATTACTAATTTTTGCATCGACTATAATCCCCCTTTTATGTCTTTTATTAAAGATATTATTTATTTATAAAATAAAACAAATATAATAATTTAAAATTGTATTTTTGAAAAAAAGGGGTTTTTAGTCATTCACACACAATAACTTCCCTCACAAAAAACACTCCACACTTGGTGTTGTGCAAATGGTAATAATGGCATGAGCATTGTCTGATGTGAGAGCTTTGCAAATGCAACTTAACATGGTGATTGTGATATCACTATTTTTATAAGCGTCCAAACTTGCAAATTTTAATATTTGTAAACAATTTGTTTAAATTCTAATAAAAAAATCGTTAAAATTAAATGTTTAGAAAAAATGAATGATATTTTATTAAATGTATTGAATATTTTTTTTATTATAATTAATATTTTAATTATTAAAATAAAGAAACTAATGAAGTTAAATATAAATTTGATCGTAGATGTTCAAAATTATAAAGTCGTCAGGTGGGTATTTTAGTAATTTTATTATAATTACAATTAGCCCCCTGTAAAATTATAAGTATCACCTTTTAGACTTTTAGTTATATTCCCAATAACAACATCCCAAGTCGTTGCCGTGTTTGACCCCAATTGCGATACACGCATATATACTTACGAAGCATCAAATTTTGAGACCACCGAGAGAGAAAAAAGTGAGATTTTTGTGAAGATGAGAGGTGTGAATGATACTAGGGAGACGATCAACGCTGCCGCCTCGGCGATTGCATCGGAGGAGAACAGACCGCCTCATTCTTCTTCAGTTCAGGTGAAGATTTTCTGTCGTTTTGGTGTTTGTTGATTTGGTTTTGCTAATTTCAATTGATTATATGGTGGGTTCTATGTTTAGAGGAAATTATTTGGTGGGAATTTGATTTGCTTGAATTTTAAGATCTGGGGTTCATCGTTTAATCACCGCCTTAATCCGAGATCATGATTTCTGTTTGATTTGTATGCGGACGATTATATGTTTGTTGATAGTTGTATTAATAATTCCAAAAAAATGACGACGATTTGTGTTTTTTGGAAAGTTTATGTGCAGTTATAGAGCTGATTTTTGTGTTTTCTCCGGCTACTTTTTGCGGTTTTGAAGTAATTTTGTTGGAATTGATGTTAGGGTTCTTGATTGATTAAGTGTTTCTTCTTATGCTCCATCACGTGGTCATAATACCAATCAGAAGGCATATCTAAAAGTCAGTTTGATGACTTTGATCGTTTGCTTGCTCAATTTGTGGTATCATGATAAATTTGAGTTCAAATTTTACACTTGAGTAGTGCATCAACTAGAAGATTCAGGGAATTGGAAACTATTGTAGGTTTCAAAATGAAACAATCCCTATAGGTTCTTCTAGATCATCGGGTTTGCTAGGATTGGGGAACCAAGTGTTAACCAGTATTACCTTCGGGTTTCTCTAGATCGTTAGTACTTGCTCAAATTCGAAGGTTCATTTGGAGAATATAACCCCATAGGTTCTAAAGAGAAGCCTTTTCATACTCTTATTCCTTCGCATTCTACAAAGAGACTGTTTCCACGACTAGAATTAAAACTAGTAAACATCGGTGCCAAAGGAGTAAAGATTACTAGTCCTCTTAGAATTATTTTAGGTTCTTGGAAAATATACCACCCTTTTGTATATGAAAAGGTTTGCGTAATTTAATTACCCTTCATGTCGTTTAAACATTTCAAACAGGGTTTGCTTTGCTTCCTTATTTTTAACTGTCTTATTTAGTAGACGAATATGATTGATTCTCTCTCGGACACGAAATAGAGACAAAGTCTTGCCTTCATTGTGGAAGGACAATCATCTCTTTGTCAACAACCACCTGTTGGATATGGAGTTCAATTTAGTCTATGGACCCATGGACTTGGCGGCATTAGATATTTTAGGAGATGATTGTTGCTAGGAACTCAGAACTCTTGGAGACGCCGAACAAGGTTAGCAGACTATGGGTAGGGATCTGTAGCCTGGACGAAGATAGAGGGTGAGACATATGGAGGGTAGCTCGGTGGCAGTTAGGTTACTAGACGCTTACGTGAGTTAGAGTGATGTCTTAGTTTTTTCTATATTCTTTTTGAAGTGTGTGTGTGTATATATATATATATAATCTTTTTGAATCCCCGACTTCTTAGGAGACCAAAGGCCTGGATACCGCTAGGTTGTTGTACATCTTTGGTTTTTCTTCTTGTATTAGTAGTTATCGGCGCTATGTTTCCTATAACATGTCGTATGTTGATCGCTAGTTTAACGTGTGGTGATTGTTTATTACAGAAACGAAGATGGGGAAGCTTTTGGAGCATTTCTTCATGTTTTGGATCTCAGAAGCAAAAGAAGATTGGGCATGCTGTTCTTGTTCCCGAACCTAGTTCCTCAAGAACCGAGTCTTCGACAATTGTAAACCCATCTCAACCATCTTCCTTGGTCCTTCCGTTCATTGCTCCTCCATCCTCTCCAGCATCTTTCCTTCAATCTGAACCACCATCTGCCGCCCAATCACCTGGTGGCTTACTGTCCTTCACAGCTGCATCCTCTGGTCTGTATTCACCTAGTGACCCCACCAACATGTTTGCTGTGGGGCCTTACGCCCACGAGAGGCAGTTGGTTTCGCCGCCAGTTTTCTCAACCTATACCACCGAGCCATCAACCGCTCCTGTCACACCTCCTCCAGAGTCTGTTCACCTGACCACCCCTTCATCCCCTGAGGTGCCGTTTGCTCGGTTTCTAGGCTCCGCTAATCAAAATGGTGAAGTGGATCGGAAATTTTCGTCATCCCACCAGGAATTCCAAATGTATCAGCTGTACCCCGGGAGTCCGATGGGCCAACTCGTATCGCCCAGTTCGGGTGTCTCCAATTCCGGCACCTCCTCTCCGCTCCCGGATGGAGGCAGCGTTCCCCACTTCCTCCGCTACCCTACCGGTGCAAAGCGGTCACCTTCAGAATGGGAATGGCGTGAAGCATCCGGCACTATGACCCCGGATCCCTCCGGTACCCAGTCCGTTCTGGACCGTCAAGACTCCGATGTGGGTCCACTGACCAAGTTCTCGAATGACGATCAGCATGCGATTGATCATAGAGTGTCGTTCGAGATCACGCCGGATGAAGTGGTGAGATGCGTAGAACGAAGACTAACTGCTGACGTGGCAGGGGGCGGCGGAGACAGTAGTGGTGATGAGGTGGCAAGCCATCATAGGTCAACAGCAACCCTTGGGTCTGGTAGAGACTTCAACTTTGACAGTAGAGATGGAGGAGATGCTAATTGGTGGAAGGTTGTTGGCAAAGAAAGTGGGGGTGGGCCTATTAAGAACTGGGCCTTCTTTCCCGTAGGTGTGAACTAGTATTAGTATTTACTATTTAGTAATGTAATGAATTCAAATCAAATAGTGTTTGGTATTTGGAATTGGAGTCTTTTAGGTTGATTAAGAATGTAAAAATTGAAATTTGATATTTGCGTTTGTGAGAAAAAAGAATTAGAAATAAAAAGAAAAAAGAATCAGTATTCATTTACTAATAATTGTTTATGACAACTTTTGTTAGCTGCACTTGCGTAGAATATGTTTTGTATTCTTAGATTTTGATAAATATTTCACAAAATACTTTAAATTTTTATGTCACTCTAAAACATCGATATAGTTAGTTTCTTCATGCACAATCTAAACCATCAAATTGCATAAACCACGTATTTCATATTGCACCACAAATCACTGTATAGAACTTTAGAGGTATTTCCGTTTGCATTTTTACCGAAACGTACTATGCGATGCAGGTTGTACTTGTTAAGATTCAGTTTAGGGTAAAGATGAATAGAATTTTGTAGAATTCAAGTTTTGTTCATTTGAGGGAACAAATAAACTACAAGAATAATGAGCAAACAATAACCCTAAGAAGATTGAGAAAACCTTATGCTTCTATTACTCAAGTTGCGAAAATGTGTAGTGTGTTGTATAAATAAAAGACTACCTCTATACTATTTTATGGAACTATCTAACAACTCTATCTAGATATTTACAAGCAAACTTCAAGCTACACAAGGACCATTAATCCTTGCTTGTTTCTTGTTTTTCAAGATTCCTCCATTCTCTTGATTTATTCGTAATATTCGGAATTTTCGTAAAACCTAGTAGCGGGACGTGACAATGTCCTCAAATGAAGTAAGAAAACGATGTTTATAAGATTCAGTTGACCTAAAGAGGAATAAAATTTTGTAGAATTTAATTTATTAGTTTTGAAAGCAGGTACTAAAATGGGGGCAGAAGAAGCTTCCGCTTGTGAAAAGGTTTATTGGCAAACAAATTGACCTTCTAGAATTCATCCTTTTTCTTATTTTCCATTTTCTCACGTGAGCCACATGTTTCTTATAAATATATTTAAATCCAAAAGATTATTATAAAATTTATAACAAAAAATAATAATATCTAAAAAAGCTTAGTAGCCTATTAATTTTATTTACAGTGTTTTTGGTACGCAGATAATACTACATAACGTTAATGCAACATAATTATAAGATTAGACCAACGACAATAAAACAGATAGATGATTTTTTTTTCTTCATTAAATTATATTTTGTCTTAATTTTAACATTACACTAAATATAAAATGCCCTTTTATTTTGTTATGTCTCTATCTTATTTCTAGTAACTAAAATGTTAGATATAAATACCTGAAGTGTTTACAAAGGGTAAAATAAAAGTCAACATATCCCAAACTTGTGGTCCACTTTGGGGATACTAGAAAAACAAAGGAGAGGCCATCTTTCTTGACCACTATCTTCTAGAAGCCCCTCCAAAATCTCTACAAAATCAAACCCTTTCCACCATCTACCTCCAAACCCCATTTCAAACCTTCAATCTCTCCTCCAAATATCCAGGAACTATCAGAAAGATGCCTCCTTTCTCACAATCAAACCCTCTCTCAATTGGGTTTTCCCACAATCATCACAAATTCGACAACCCTAAATCCACCAATGTTGTCACCATTGATGTGGGTGGTCAGCTCTTTCAAACCACCAAACAAACCCTAACCCTAGCTGGCTCCAACACCCTCTTCTCCAATCTCTTCGATTCTTATGATCAAATCCCTTTTATTGATAGAGACCCTGATCTCTTCTCCATTCTCCTTTCCCTTTTGAGAACTGGTAATATCCCAACAAAAGCTAAATCTTTTGACCTCCAAGATATCATCTTTGAGGCACAGTTTTATGGGATTCATCATCTTCTTGTTCAATCTCGATCAAACCCATCTCAATTCGAAGCATTTAATCTCCAGAAATCAACGATTTTGCCTCTTAATGGCAGAGATTCACCCTCTGTTATCGCCACAGCACCATATGGGTCAGTTCATGTCTCTCATGGTAGCAAAATCACATCTTTTGACTGGTCTTTGCAAAGAAAGTCAACGATTTTAACCCAATTCACGGCTATCGATTCTTTATTGTCTTTATCATCGAATGTAGTTGCAGCAGGTGCCACTGATTTCTCGGGGTTGCAAATCATTGATCTTGATATGGGTTCTGTTAGGCAGACTTTGAATTGGGAAAATATGACTAAATCTAGCTCAACCGTTCAAGCAATCGGGACGTCCCCTGAGTTCTTATTCACTAGTTTCGAATCAGGCCGTAGGAATTCAAATTCTATCTTGGTTTACGATATTAACGATGGTCTCAGAGTTGTATCGGAGATTGCACGTAACGAAATCTTTGGTGCTGATCTTGATTCTGCAATTCCATCGACAAAATTGAATTGGGTTCCTAGTCTTAATCTGTTAATGGCTTCAGGGTCTCATAGTGGACCATCTGGGGTTTCAGGAAACATCAAGTTTTGGGACATTAGATCAGGCAATGTAGTGTGGGAAATCAAAGAAAAAGCCGATTGCTTTTCGGACATCACAGTTTCTGACACCCTTTCGGCTGTTTTCAAGATTGGGATAGACTCAGGAGATGTGTCCTACATTGATTTCAGGCACATCGATTCCGATAACACATGGAAATCTCTTGGTGGCACCAAGAAACCGACGAACGGAAAGAAAGGAGGACTGGGTTGCAAGATTGAAAGCCATGGAAATCAAGTGTTCTGTAGTAAAGAAGGTGAATTGGAGGTATGGTCAGAAGTTTTGATGGGGAGTTCTGAGAAGGGTAAAGATGGGAAAAATGAAAGTGTGTTCAGGAAGAACATATTGGGAAGAACAAAGGATGTTGGAGGAAATAGGGTTACAAATTTAGGGTTTAGTGGAAACAGAATGTTTGTGACTAAAAAAGATCAACAATGTCTTGAAGTTTGGGAAAGCTCTAGAAGATGATTTTGATTCCATGAGCTTTTTAAGTTTATTGATAGTTTAGGAATTATTTTTAGTATAAATTTATGGAACAAAAAACTATTTTCTGTATATTCTTGGTAAACTTTCAGTAAAAGTAATCATTTATTCTGTATAATTATTTCATACAGAATCAAGATGTATGTTACTGAAAGAATGTGAAATGGGTTTTTTTATTGGTTTTATCAGAAATAAAAGACGATTGTTAATTTTCTGAATATGGTTTCTTTTCAAATCGAGTATTAGACTCCAACAAGCTTGCTATCTTTAATTATATACACCCTCATCGTAAGTAAAATACAGTTTTCTTTGTTTTAGAAAAACTGTTGGAAATTAAAGCAGTTATACCATTATGCAAAGTTTTTTTTATTCTGAGCTTGTTAAAAAAAAGGGAACACATAATCATTTTGAGTTGGTCAATCTCAAACTAAAATCCCACAAATCCTTGGCCAACGCCGGATCTTTAGCTCTCTCCGATGGTTCCGTCAAATTACTATCGGAAAAATACTTTCCCGTAACACCGTTCACCTTCGGATTCAACGCTAAGTAGCATGTTGTTGCCGCTCCCTGAAAATCAAATCGAATAAATGAAAAAACCATTTTTTCTAACGACACAATGTCAAAAAAAAAATCCAAACCTAAAGTACGAACCTGTGAAATATCTTTCACAAAGTGCCTCAGAATCATGTTGCAAAGAACTGCACCATGAAAAAGGTTAATCAAACAAACTTTATAGCTAGTTTCTTGTCACCACCATAGGATTAACAGTTTACGTACCCGTGAAAATATTAAAGTTGCGGAAAATGTTGGTGACAATGAATCCGGGATGCAATGAATTCGCAGTGATATCGACCCCTTCCTTCTAATAAGGATGCAGTCAGGATAATCTTATATCGAATAAACCAAATGATAAAAATAAAAAAAATTAAACTTAAAATGATCTTTAGAGATAAAAAAAACTATTAAAGATCACCTTCAAACGCCTTGCTAGCTCGTTAGCATGAAGTATATTAGCCAGTTTCGATAGTCCGTAAGCATATACATGGCTATAACTGCAAAGTAATAAACTTAATAAAAATTGCCAAAAGTAGCGTCTTTAAAAAGAAATTGTAGACAATTCAACAAAATCGGATTTATAAAATGTATCGGTATTTAAGTGTTCTGATAGAGTGCTTTATAGTACTTAAGTTTATAGAACCAATGAATAAAGTGTTGCATAGTTGTCATAACAAGTTTTTAGGGACCTTTTTAATATAAAGTGTCATATTAGCTATTTTATGGACACTTATGAGAAATATCCTATAGACACATTTTTATAAAGACATTTTTCCAAATAGTGTCATACAAAATAACTAATACGACGAATTATTTTGAAAATATCCTAAAAACTTGTTACAACGCCCTAAACCCAAAAACGTTTTGTAAACTTATTGTAACGCTTTTAGACATAACATTTTACTTTTTAGTCATTTGAATTTTACTCCTATAAGGCAGTCTATTAGGACATTAAGCATTTAGGCGTCCTATAAACCCAATTTTGTTGTACTAAGAATATCTTGCCACATAGAATTGCATTAAACCGTGGTCTTGAACTCTTGTTGGGGTTAACGTATTTTGCAAACATACTATTTCTATTTACCTTGATTCGTCGTTTATTTGGTCCGAGAATGTTCCTTTGTTCGCAAAACGATGACCCACGGATGATACATTGATTATTCTTCCTTCTCTTTTTTGTTCATACGAAGTAGTTTTCATCGTGTCTAGCAACATATTCGTCAAAAGAAAATGACCTGGCAAAAGAACCCAAAGGATTGACGTTCTCAACTATCGTTCTTATGGAATTGTGAAGAAGAAAAAAAAACGAACGTAGTTTGCAAGATTTACCAGTTTCATGAAAATAATGTAAACATAATTGTAAAGAAAAACCATCGTACCGATTATTTTGTGAGAAGTTGTTCATTGTCGTAAAATACAGGGTTCTTTTTTCTATTTTTATAAAGATAAGTCAAGTACGGTGGTTAAAAAGTCAATAGCTCAGTAAAAGGTTACATCTTAACGTACTTTCGTGAACGATAACATAATCAAACGCACCTAAATGATTAGTTGCGAAATGTAGTTCGATTTTCTCCTTCGAAAGCGTGAATGGTGGAGACAAAACCCCTGCATTGTTACTTACAACAAAACAAACCCAAAATTCTCATAGCATTTCGATATAAATCAATGTATCGTATGGTTTCTTACATTAGAATGTGTAGGGGAAGACCCGAAGAACGATATTTTTTTGCAAAATCCCTTATAGACTTTTGTGAGTTCAAATCTAACTCCATTATGTCGATTTTCGCATCAGGTGTTTCCGTAAGTATCTTGTCGCTAACTTTTTTACCATTTTTGGTGTTTCTTACCGCCATAACTACATGTACACCGCGCAAGGCAAGGACTCGTGCTGTCTCAGCCCCAATACCACTTGTTGCTCCTGGTAGCAGACATAGATGTAAGTAAGAAATCCCGACTATGAGGATTCGTCAAATAGCCAAACTTTGATCAGGTCATTCCTTAATATGTTAAATACGAGATTTTGAACATGCCCGATTTTACATGTTGTATAGGACATTTTATCATCCTGTTCGTTCAATTCATCGTTGTTTATTTTTGTGTAAACTAGGTTCAGATAATTATATTGTTAATTGTTTAGGTTAATCTCTTTCTCGTCTTTTAACATATATGTAGCTCTTTCATCTCATTTTGCAGAGTAATCAAAACCTCTAGGTGTAACAGGTCCTCCAAAAAAGTTGGAACGTCCCGTCCTCGATCATGGATTTGTGAAAGTCCATGTTTGACCTCTAGAGTTCTAGTCAAACGTCAAATCCACCCTTTTAGAGAGAGAGAAGGAAGCATACATGTAACATCATTACGAGAAAGAACTTCAATTTTGACCTTCAGAACAATTTAAAGGCATGTTTGTCAACAGCTTAACGAGCTTAATGAGATTAATAAGACTCATAACTTATTCGACCAAGCTTAATGATATAGAAAGTGGGTTATTATTCAACCATGCCCCTCTCAATTAAAACATACGTTTCTTTCATATATGAAAAAACCCTCCAAAATAAAAACTTTTTCAATCTATACAAACATGTTAATCTAGTCGAATAACTTAAAACCAACCAAACAGCCCCCCAACTCAATCAGTAACAGAAACAAAGGCTAAGAGAAACAGACCAGTAACAATGGCTGTGAGAGCAGATCCATTGATTCCGTCGGTTACTTGTTCAGCTGTTGAAGAAGCTGAAAACCCTGAATCTCCTTTTCTTCCAAAAATCCACATTAATATGGTTTGAAATGAAGTGTAAATAAAAAGGAATCAAGGTGTGGTTTATATAAATCAAGATTTTCTTGTTGCAGTTGTAGTCATTTATGAATGGATGGTTGTTAACAAGGAGGTGTTGCCGGCCGAATTAGACTCTTAAAATACTCTTTGATATTAGCATTAGTATCAATCAACCAAGTTTTCAATTAATTATATAATTTTAAATATCACATCTTCCATTTATAAATAAAACTTAATCAGATCACATCAGATTTCGTCAAATTAAGGCTAACCTTGACTAAAATCCTCTTGTGACCAAGTAGGTTCAAATGCAGTGACTCCGTGTTACCCGCAAAGCATGTGTCGTCCTGGGATTTGTCGGCTCACATAGCGGATTAGATATCCAGGTTAATAAAAACAAATCATCAATTTTTGATTAATCTAAAACTGTATATTACCAACAAAAATGGATAATATATTTGTACATTCCAAAACCGAATGAAAAACAAATTGTAAAATAGCAAGATATCTTTTACTTAACAAATTACAAAAATCAAACTATAAAAATCCTTTTAGTCACTGATATTATGTAGTTAAAGACTTTCTTCCTAATTTACTCAGCCAAACTATTAATTGTTCCACACATGTTTTGTATTATATTATTTGGTATAAAATAAACAAAATAAAAGAAAAGGAGTAAAAAGAGTATGTTACATTTAATTTAGGGATGCTAAATACATCTCTATCTATGAATTTCTTTTCGACATACATTAATATTTATGTTTCCAATTAATTGATTTTGAGATAAAAAGGGATGTAAATAATATTCCCTTTAACTTTAACAGATTTTTCTGACCGAGTTAGTTGGAAAAAGACAAAATAAAAACAAAAATGATGAAAAATCAATTTTTAAAGATTAAAGACAAAAAAGATTTTTAAACGTTAAAAAGGTAATCATATAATGCAGTAAGATACATCTCGATTTTAATGTTTCGTTTTATTATGTTCTTTGTCAATGTTATAATACGATTTTATTTGATTTTGAATAAATTATAAATTTGAAGATAACTTAAATTTTTTAAAAAGATATATCGATATTAGTATCAAATTAAATATTTAGAAGTAATTGTTTTGTTGTGTAATTTCTTTAATTCAATTTCTTTATTATTATTATTATTATTATTATTTAATTTAGATTTAATAATAAAGTAATTTATTTTAATTTAATAATATAATTTTTATAAAAATAATAATTAAGTATTTTGTTAGCATACAGTGACTATTCTAATTATATTTTATATTTAAAATAAAATGTTTATTAAATATTTGATTATATTTATCCCCAATTAGTTACACGAATTCAAACATGAAACTTTAATAAGTTATACTTATGCATTATTTACATGTAATCTTGAATTTAAAGTAATATACATTAGTAAATACTATTTTATGTATAAAAAATAATTTTTATTAATTTTTATTAAATACTTTATAATATAATTATAAATAAAACTTGAAATTTAGGGGATGTTTGGAATTGATTATTTAAAACAACTTATGTTTTTTTGTTGTAAAAGTACTTATTAACTTATGTGGTATCAAACCGGAATTAAATAAAACAGAGTTAAAATTGTAAACTGGTAATAAACAGTTTTTCATAAGTAAGAAAAAATTAACTTATCAAAAACAGCTTATTACCGGTTTGGCACCGGTATAAGCAATTTTTTTCTTATCCAAACACTAAAAAATAGCTTATTACCGATGTCAAATTAAAATAAATTAAAAAACAGCTTTTATAAACAATCTCAAACATCCCCTTAAGTTTTACACCCTAAAACCGATATCATACATGTATGTGCTGACTCCTTGTTTTAATTAAAAAATTACCGGAATAAAAAATACCGCAACTTATATTGACCGTACACCACGCGTGAACCTCCAACATCCATCCCTTGACAAGAAGGGTCCCCTATATTGTAGAAAATTGACACCAAGACCCTCTAAGATAACCATTCTTTTCCAATCTAGTGTCAAAGGCCAAATTAAAGCATGATAAGGTGAAGGACAATGTATTAAGAATCTTTTATACCATTCATCATTGATCATCAAACTTCGGTTATATAAGAAAGCAATGATAGATTGAAAATGAATTAACCGTTATAATCATTAAAAACTTCTACTCAAACAGATAGGGGTGTAAATGATACGAAATAATTCCTGACCTACTTGAGATCGACTCGATCAAAACTCGACTTGAATAAGCTCCGCTCAAACTCGAATCGAACTCGATATATTAACGAGTCAAGGGAGCTACCAAATACTCAAGTGCAGGGGTTGAAATTGGAAATATGTAAAGTACAAGGACAATGTTGGTATTTAATTTTCTTTTCCAGATGTTTCAATTTTTCAAACGAAGTTTCCTAGTGGTCAACGCAGCCATCTTCTTTATTCTGTTCAAACCCCATTCAGTCGGTCCAACTTTGTATATAACCATAGATAGATATTATTTGTATCCAGACCTCATCATCTTAATTCTTGTGCTAATCAGATTTAGGATCAAATTCAAACAGCAATCAAAGGGTTTAATCAGAATCATGACTTGGCTATTTTCATTATTCAACGGGGCATCAGGGTTTTCAGGAAATTCTAAAGCTGAAGAAGTTACCAACGGAATCGATGGGACTGGCCTTACCGCCATTGTTACTGGTATCCAACCTTACCCTCTCTCTCTCTCTCTCTCTCTCTCTCTCTCTATATATATATATATATATGTTGTGTTTTTAGATCTGTGAGAAGGGTAAGAATCAAGAGGTGGATGAAACTCCCCCTTTTGTTTGTTCATATCTAATATGGCCTGAAGTGTGAGCAAACATCAGGAAGGAAATCATTTAACGTGTATGGATCATAACCTGACATCACACATGATCGGTAGTAACATCATCTGACAATTCTATGGAGATATTAAAATAATTAATTCATAAATTTCTTAAGGGTACTTTTAGAAATTTCTAGAAGTTAAGGTTCAGTAAAACTATCCAACTTGTGACCTAAAATGACAACATTTAAACGTTTTAGGAATCTTGAAATGAAAAATGCACTTACTACCTTAACTTAAACTCTCAAACTGAAATTGGATCTAGATTCTAGGCTCCTACATTAGACCCAACTTCAAATTAAGCAATAGTGCAAATAGAAGTAGGCCTGGGCCAGCCATGTGCGGCCCATCTTTCAACCCAGCAGACCAGTAGCAATGAAACGGGCGGTGATTGCCCACCTGCTTCGAGCCCGACCCGGGTTTTCATCCTGTTTCACAGCCACGCCCAGTCGCCAGCGACCTTTTGGGGTCAAAATTGAGCAGACTTTCTTCAAATCTTTTGCATTAAAACCTTTACACTAATTAATCCTCGTCCATGATTCCATGGCATAAGGAACCACGATCAAATTAAATTATGGGGCTCAAAATTTATATTTTTCGCTCGTTTTTTAGCTACCGGCGGCACTTGGGTCAAATTGGCAGCCTTCGGGCCACCATTCCGTCCCACAAATCATACCAAACAAACGGTTAATTCAGCAAAACAACATGACTATTAATAAGGAACTCTCAATTGAAAGATTCACGATGAAAATCACCTTGAATCGACGTTGAACCGAATGAACCCTAACTTCACTTCGTCGGTTGATCTCTTCCGCAACTCTTGAACATTTCTTGCGAATTTAGAGGTGTTATGACTCGAGACAGTAAGATGAACCAAAAATGGCATTTTATTTCATTCAAATGTGAGCTTAAACGGCTCAAATCGACCCCCAAATTATTGCCGCACAAATGGAAAAACCACCCCGCGTTGACATTTCAAATGTACAAGGACTTGGCAACCAAGTCCCTAAAGTTTCCTTTCAAACCCCTTGGCTTTAATTTTATTCAATTTTCACCCAAACTAACTAGGAACTAGAGTAAATTACATTCCTGGTCCCTGTGGTTTTCGGTTTGTTTGAATAAGGTCCCTAAAACGAGTTTATTACACTTCCGGTACCTGTGGTATGCAAAAACACACACTCTGAGTCCCTCCCTCTAATAGACTTCCAGACTATAGAATACAAAGTCAAGAGACGTCATTATATCTTAAACCAATTGCTACTGTTATCACAAATCTTACAATGTCTACATAATTTCCAGGAGCTACAAGCGGTATCGGCTTAGAAACAGCCCGTGTTCTTGCTTTACGCGGAGTCCATGTGGTTATGTCGGTCAGAAATGTCAAAGCCGGTAAAGAAGTTAAAGAAAGCATCTGCGAGAAAATCCCAAATGCTAAACTCGATGTTATGGAGCTCGATTTGAGCTCACAGGAATCTGTACGACAGTTCGCAGCTGACTACATTTCAAAGGATCTTCCTTTACACATTCTAATGTATGAAAACAACTTTCTTCCATCAAGTTTTACAATTTTTGTAGTTGAAAGTTGCATATGGACTAATTTTTCCTCATCTTTTTTGTGCCAAAAGTCTAAATGCAGGGATCAGCTCTCAGCCATTCACTCTTTCGAAGGACAACATAGAATTACAGTTTGCAACGAACCATATCGGCCATTTTCTTTTGACGAACTTGTTGTTGGATACCATGAAAAAGACAGCAGATAAAAGCCAGAAGGAGGGAAGAATTGTTGTTGTTTCATCTGAGCTGCATAAGATGACATATAGTGAAGGAATCAAGTTTGACAAGATCAACGACGAAAAGAGGTAATCTGTTAGTAGTATGCAATTCATAAAACGATACGTACACAGGTTAAATTGTCTCTAAACTCTCGGGGGTAGAGGTCAAGTTTGCGTACATCTCACCCCTCTTAGACCCTGCTTTTTAGTGGGATAAACTGGGTTTGTTTTGTTTGGTTTACACTGATGAAATGGTACCATAATTCACATAATAATATCCTGTGAGATTTTCTTGATTTCAGCTATAGCGCTTTCTATGCTTATGGGCAGTCGAAGCTTGCTAATGCATTGCACGCTAAGGAGCTATCAAGGCGCCTCAAGGTAATCGTTTTTTTTTCTTTTTTCATTTGTTATCATCCCACATCAGTTAAACTTGAACAATTTCTCTTCCATATATATAGTTTCACATATTCTCCTATGGTATCAGAACCAAGGTCAACCACTCTAGGGATTCGACATTTTGAGACAATCTGTATTCGCCTAGCCCCTCTTGACACTCGGATAATTTGTGCACGTCTAGCGCCCCGTTGGAGGGGCGTGTTAGAGTCTTAGACTACCTAGACTTGGACCATTTGTCATCCATATACGTTGGAAGTTGGAACCTTACTTCTCTTCTCAAGAGCTCTTTTGAATAAAATCTAATGGAGTTCTACGTATTCTCACAATCATCTTTGTGGGATTAAACAATATATAATATACTACCTTGGGGCAGAGGAAAAGTCTGCATATATCCTAACCCCAAATCCTACAAGTTTACTGACTTTGCTCGATTTGGTATATATACTAGTGCACAGATTTGAAAAACTAGAAACTGTTGCTTTTCTGGGCTAACCAACAAATTGACTCTATATTTGATGAAATCAGGAAGAAGGCGCGAATGTGACTGTGAATTCGCTACATCCTGGAGTTATCAAGACCAATCTTCAACGTAACCAAGGGTTTGTGGCGTCTACAATCAGCCGTGTGATCTACACATTCATGAAGAATATCCCGCAAGGAGCTGCAACTTCGTGCTATGTGGCGTTGCATCCACAAGTGAAGGGGGTTAGCGGCGAGTATTTTGCTGATAGTAACATAGCAAAAGCAAGCAAGTATGCCTTGAGTCCAGAAATGGCCAAGAAGTTGTGGGACTTCAGTTTGAACTTGACCAAGTTAAAGTAATCAGTTTCTTTACCATCTTTTTGTATTTCTTCATTAAGCATTTGTATGGTTTTTATGATGCTCCATTTTTCACTTGTTTGTATTATAGTATGTATTCTTTGTATCACGGATTGTTGATGTTTTATATGATTGTTGCAAACGTTTGTATTGAATGAAAGATCATGTTATATGGAAAAATCTTTGTTATTATTATCACGTATTCTGTGCACTCTCATGGGCTGACACTAAGAGACTAAAGCTAGGGGGAGCAAATGGGATTGGATATCCCACTAGTCCTAGTTGTAAACGATGGATACTAGACGTTGTGCAGTGTTGTAGCTAAGACGTTAAATATTCCACTTGGGGAGTACGTTCACAAGAATGAAATGACGAGGGCAATATGCAATGCCTTCTCAACCTTTGAATCATAGATTCCAAATACTTGAAACTTTACTTTTGAGTTACCAAAGGCTCGGTTCGTAGGCCAATTCTTCGGGTTTGATGGACCATACCCAACTTGTAGCTATGAGTTGGGTTGGGTTGAATGAACCACTCCTTGGGTGGTGGTTGTTTTTGATGCATTCCCAGCACGATACATTGAACCAATTCTTTAGGTAGCAAAAGTCAACAATTTGGTCAAGCATTTGAGCACATAATCAATCCTTTTTGGGAATTTTTACACAAAAATAGTAGAACAGACGATATCATCTGATCATCTCAAGAACATGTTCTTCCTACCATAGCTTTTAAAGGCAACAACAAAGAAGAAACAGAACCCATTGGGGGGGATAATTTACACACATTCATTAACAGCACAAAAACTCCACATTTGAACGAATAAACAACAAGCCATGATTGACAAAAGGCAAACAAATCGAAGAAATTAAAGAAAAAATTATATATTAATTTAAGATCTGCTCTTGAATGGAATGGCTCTGATGACGAACTGATGGTACACAGCAGCAAGTGCAGCTCCAATGAAGGGACCAACCCAGAAGATCCACTGCAAACATATCAAATATCAGAAGCTTTTAGACAGGTCAAAATTCAAATCTTGATGAATAATTGCAAGTAAAAATTCAATTTTGTTGGAACGTTTTGCAGCTAAAATTAGTGTCAAAAACTAAATCTTGATGACGAGAAAACCGAGTGAAAATGAACAACGTACGTGGTCATCCCAAGCATGGCTCTTGTTGTAGATTATGGCAGCTCCAAGACTTCTTGCAGGGTTGATACCAGTTCCGGTGATGGGGATGGTGGCCAAATGGACCAAGAACACCGCAAACCCAATTGGCAGAGGGGCCAAAATCTACAATTAAAACACTCAAAAGTCAGATAAAGAAACAAAAAACATTGCAGTTTTCATGGATATCTCAAGATTCATCAAACATACAGGGACATGGGAGTCTCTGGCACTTCTTTTGGCATCAGTGGCTGAGAAAACGGTGTAAACAAGCACAAAAGTACCAACGATCTCAGCACCAAGACCATCGCCTTTGGTGTAACCATGGGCTACAACATTGGCTCCACCACCCAAGGTGGTGAATTGGGCATCACCCTGGAACCCCTTGACCACCCCAGCACCACAGATTGCACCAAGGCACTGCATCACCATGTAGAACACAGCCCTGGTTAACGACAGTTTTCTTGCCAATAGCAAACCGAAGGTCACAGCTGGGTTAATATGTCCTCCTGTTTTACACCAAAAGGAAAAGTTCAAGATCTTCAACATCACAAATAGCTTTATGTGAGATTTGAAGAAGAAAACACCAAAAAACAAAGATTTTATGTGATGATAAAGATTAGGGTTTTGGTGGAAATATACCTGAGATACCAGCAGTACAATAGACAAGAGCAAAGATCATGCCACCAAAAGCCCAAGCAATTCCTTGAATACCCACTGTACCACATTTGGTGGGAGATTTGACCACACCCATTACAGTCAAGACAGAGATGTAGAGAAAGAGGAAAGTTGCTATGAACTCAGCAATACCAGCTCTGTAAAAAGACCATGAGGACAACTCTCCTGGCTCAAACAGAGGAGCTGGTGGTGGCTCCTTGTAATCTTTATCTGTTTGAGCTGATGTTCCTATGGGTTGCCTCTCAGAATACTTGTTGGCTCCAAGCTTCACATCTTCTTCCTTACCCTCCATCGTTGTTGCTCAAATCTTTCTCTCTCTCTCTAGTGAAGTGGTGATTTTGTGAGGAATGAGGTTAGGGTTTGTTGGGTTTTATAGTTGAAAAGACATCATTTAATGGGTATTTTTACTTGATTTTGTTAACTTGATAATAATTGATAGTGTTGTGTTGGTTCGTTTCTTCTGGAAAGAAGAGAAGGATGATGACAGATTCGGTTTGTTTGTTTGTGTGTGGTGTTCTTATCTAATACAGAGTGTCATTAAATTATTGGTTGTCTTCTTATAATATTTAGGCCAGCCTTTATTCTGAGCATATATTTTCATTTTCAACAATGTTTTAGCTCTCTAATCTCTATGAAACTCGGATCAATGAAATTCAGGCATTGTCAAGAAATTATGGCTATGGAAGTTTATATGTAATAACTCCAAGTTTATTCTTAGTTGAAGCATATATATCTCGCTTGAAAACTTACACTTATTTAAAAACAAAAGAATGAAATTATTATAAATTATAGTGGATAATTTGATTATACTAATAATTTTAGAGATGTTTGATTTAATTTAATAAGTTCAATTAACATCTTAATTCATTAAGTAGTTTTTTATTTAGCTTAATGTTAAAGACTAGGGGTGTTCAAAAAACTCGTTGGACCGCTCAAACCGGATCGGTTTTGGCGGTTTAAGCAGTCTGGCGGTTTGGTTTGGAAAATAGCAAAATCGGACGGTTCGGTCCGGAACCTTTTTTGGGCGGTTTGGACAAAACCGACCGTCATATATATATATATATAATTATTTATTTTAATATTAACAAGTCTAACTTTTTTAACTTATGGGCTATACCTTAAATATATCCTTAAACCAACATAAAACCTAACATTTAACATAATCGAGATGGATATTTAATCTAAAGTTATAAATTATATATGTTTTTTAAGTTTAATATTTAAAGTCCATTAAAGGCCTAAACCGCCTAAACCAGTCAGACCAAACCGCCTTTTTATGGTCTGGTTTGACCGATCTGGACACTTGATATCAAACCACTCAATTTGAAAATTTTATAAACCGTCATTACGGTTTAGTTTGTGGTCTGAAGGGTTAAACTGCCCAAACCAGACCGCAAACACCCTTACTAAAAAGACATGGCATAATTTATTCAACCAACTTTTCTTTCCAAAAATGACCTCCCTTTTTTCAATCTTTGATTCTTCATTCATGTATAATATACTCCAATTTTCCCAACACTTATATGTTTTTATACAGCAAATTATATGAAAAGGTAATGTATTTTAATTTAATTCTTATTTTTAGTAAAGTATTTTTAAAACTTTCATTTTTATACCTAAGATATAAAGTTTTAAAAATTTAAGTATCCGAGTAACCGGTTAAAACTAATTTTTAGATAAAAACTAACTTTTAGATTAAGATATCCATGTTAGCAAATAATACTGAGTTGGATACCACATCACTTGTTACATCAGCATGGTAACCGGTTAATACTTCAACCAGTTACCCGAATACTTAAAAGTTTAAAATTTTACATCTTAGGTACCAAGATGGAAGTTTTAAAAGTATGTTACCAAAATATGAATCAGGTTAAAATACATTACTTTTTTTATGCAATTTGCTCTTTTTAATAAAAAGAAGTTAAAATATTAATTTATTGTGATATTTTGTGTATCATCTAATTGCTTTATTGTTGTCTTTTAGATATTTAAATTTATTAAACTTGAAAACCAGTTAAGTTTATTAACTAGTGTGTTATTATGGTTAAAATCATAATTTATCATTTGAACTGTTTATTCATTATAAAGAAAAATAAACAAACCAATCAATTAAAATGTAAATTGAATTAGGTATGTATTATGGTTATCCTTGCTATTTAAAGATGTATGTGTTAATTTAAAACATTAAGGTCTCGTTTGATTTGCATGAATTGAAGGATTTGATTTGGGAGGATTTGAATTTCAAATTCATTCTAATATCATGTTTGGTTTGTTAGATTGTACGCATTTGAAATCATTGGATTTAATTGAAATTCTATAAACATAGGATTTCAAATCCTTAGGAGGTTGCACGGAATTTCGTAAAGTTGTATGAAACAAAGTTCTAAAAAATGTTAATAACATTTATTTTGTAATAATCGATTAACAAAAATATAATTTAATTACTTTTTAATCATTTATAATCTTTTTATAAATTATTTATAAATAATGAAATTCAAATCCTACAAAATAAACACACTAATAATTTCAAATCCATTTTAATTCAAAAACAGTCATACAAACCAAACTAAAGGGGTTGTTTGTTTACCTCTTAATAGTTTCATTAAGAGACAACCTCTGAATTATTAAGAGGTGAATCTTGTTTGGCAAAAAAAAATATGTCTCTTAATGGTTCTAAAATCATCTAAATGATTTTGTATCCCGGATCCCCCTTAACCATTAAGAGTCCTAATTTTATTGTACACAATTATCAAACAATTATATTTTATTTTGCACTATATCATGAGAGCCTCTTAATCATTCTGACCACTTAATCATTCTACACTAAACCATTCAACAATTATCAAACACACCTGATAATGTCCGAAAAGAAATTAACAAGGGGTCCAAGTCCAATAGATTATGTGTTTTTAAAACAAGTAATTTATAAAGTGAAAAATAATAGTTACGAAAGAGGTTGGTATGATGAGGGGACCACTTGACGTGGAAAATATAAACGAGTGGCTGAGGGGAATTAGCCGGTACATATTTGGACCGTTATGGAAAGTGACTCCATCCCACAACGGCTCTCCAGCCATCTCAAATTACATTATCACCCTTCTACATTACATTTTCCCATTTTTATTTTATTTTACAAATAATTATATATCATTCCATATATTTCAATTTTTTAAAAATACCTTTTTTTTTTAATTCCATCCATAATAAGATATAGCAAAGGATGCTATTATGTAATTTTCCTTCTAATTAAAAGATGGTATTGAAAATATGAAAGCTGAAATGTTTAATGTTGATATATGGGAGTATGATCGGATGAATATATAGAGGATTCATTATAGAAAATATTTTTAACAACCGATAAGTCTGTAATTCTATGATTAGATAGATGTTCTTCTGTGTAAGTGGTTTGGACTTCTTGTAATAAATGGTTTTCTCTGATCAGAGCTTCTCCAAAAATGGGCTTGTTTTTTGACATTTTACTCGTCTTTCTACAGGTTAGTTCATCGTTCAAAATGTTTTATATTTTCTTGGGTAAATTTTAGTGTTAGGAGTTCAAATTTTGGTGTTAGTTAAGGGCGATATTCAAACGAGGAAAGGCTTACGGCCAGGATCTTTCAGAAAATGGATTCTTATTCGAAGAGTTGTGGTTGTCCTCGTCCGATTGTTCTTGGATGGTTATTTTGGTCCTCGATTTGACGCTCTTGGTGGTTACCTTGGTCTTTCGACCATAGTTTTGTTTTTTGAATAGGGTTCTTTTTCACTTGTTGTTTTGTATATATTTTAGGGGTGATCCCTACTCCTTATGTGTTTATTTATGCATATTCTAGAAAATGTTTGGTTGAAGTCGATTTTTTCTTTTTGTGTTCTTCTTCATGTTCTAATGATATTTGTTTGCGGTTAAACTTTCAGTAAGACAAAATCAAGAACATTTATAAACCAAAGTCAATCTCAGTTATATCTTGTAATAATTGTTAAAAGATAAATATGTATGATTTTTTGGATAACTAAAAATGAAAAATATGTTTAGTTTTAAATAGAACAAGTACATTTTTATTTTTTTTATTTTTAAAAAACCCTAAAAACTCAACATGAGGGTTTCAAATTAAATATTTGGATTAAAATTTTAGCAAATAAAAAACAATTTTAGAAAATTTCAAAAAATAAAAAGTGTTGTATTTTTCATTACTAGAAGAGTACTTGTATAATGTAGCGAGATATATATCTCGATTTTAGTGTTTCATTTTATTTTTTTGTCTCAGTCGATGTTGTAATACGGTTTTATGTAGTTTTGAAAAAACAATAATGTTTTTACATTTGAATAAAATATAAATATAAATATATCATAAAAAATTATCATGTTCTTAATGATTAACTTTTTTCAAAAATATAAGTTTTTTTATCTTGCTTTTATGTGTGTGTGTGTGTATATATATATAATTTATTATGTATATACTAAATTAGTTTTTGAAAATAAAATACAAAATATCGGTAAAACTCGGATTTGCCTTCATGTAAAAGGCGCTTGCCTCTATTTAACGAAACTTTGTTAACAACATTAAATCGGTGAACAATGAATACAAGAAAAATGAAAAGTTTAAAACTTTTAAGATGGAATAGTCCATTTGAATAATCAAATCCAAATTTTAAAAACAATTGTTATAATTCACGTAAAATATAAAATAAAATCTAAATCATTTTATAAAAATGGACAAATAATCTAATAATTATGAATTATTACCTCAATAATTACACAATGTCGATCGCTTTATAGAAGGAGAGCCAACTCATATGACTATTGAGAGAGGTGGCTTTGTGTTGGCTCAATCATCACTTAAGCCCAACATAACACCAACCATATGGGCCATTTTTTTATTCCTTTTAACACAATAAATGACTATTTACTTATGGTAACTTTTGAAAATATTTTATAACATATATATATATATATATATATATATATATTGTTTTTCTAATAAATATTTTGTTATTTCTTTCAACTTTTAAAACTGTTTTATTTGATAACTCTAGGACATTATTAGCACCACAACTATATGGTCGTAGTAGAATCTGTAATCCATCTTCCGTGCAACAAGTCAACAATCAGTAAGTTAAACCTATCAATTTTTGTTCCTTGAATTTCAAAATTCTTAAAAAGATAGATTTACAAATTGTTGGTCATGCGGGTTTTGATCCATTTTTTGGTCTACATCACTTGATTGATATAATCGGTCAATTTTGTCGAAACCGCACAAACACATTTAACCTTGTAAACGCCTACTAGATACGATGGGATCAATGAGAAAACTTGAATACTCTAGATTTTGAGTTATTGACTTGATAG